TACTGATTTATGGCGTTATTCTATCTCATGTTAGCAATAATAATAGCGTTAATAATGACAATGCTTAACATTTAATATCACTTACTCATACTTCATTTCTTTATTCTTATTTTATTTATTTAATTTTCAGAAACTGGGGTTGTTTTGCCAAAAGGTGCAATGCGTCTATTCAAAGCTGGCTCATGATTACCTACAGGCTTGAACTCTTCTGGCTGAAGCACTCTCCCACCTCATTCTCCGGTCGTAGCGGGACTACATGGCATCTGCACCACCTCGCCTGCACTCCACACTTCATCTGTCCATTTTCGTTGTTAAATGATTTACATAAATTGTTTCATTGCCAAATAAGTAGTTACCAGTTGAGTGCGCAGTGCTGGTGGTCAAAAAACAAAATTACAACAAGATGTACTGATAAAGGACACTCTCGCTTTACTTTTGTTTGTTTGTTTTAACGACAGAGTCTGCTCTTGCCACACTCTGCACACACACCACTCACCACACACACAAACTCTGGGCACGCACACGCTCAGCTCCACACGGTAGCCTCCACACACGTGCACACATGCCTGGCTTACTTTCTATCACACTCTCACGCTTCCACTTAACATTTCTTCTATTTTTTAGTAGACGAACGGGTTTCTCACTCTTGCTCAAGCCTGATCTACGTAACTCCTAACCTCTAGGACTTCTCCCTGCTCGTTCCGCCTCAGCACAGGATAGCAGCGTCACCACGGCGCACCGCAGACTTTTACTCACTCTCATTGAGTGTTCTGATGAGCGTGACCACACACACACTCACTCACACAGAAAAGCACTCACACGCACACAAAAAAAACACACAACACACACAAGCAGCAAAAAAAAAAAAAAAAAAAAAAAAAAAGTAGTCATTTCAAAGTTACTTTTCTCGTAAAGGTTGAACAGAAGGGACATCTTATCATGTTGGCCAAAACTGGCCTGTTTGGGGATTTTGCTATCATATCTCTCCCAATTTCTCTGAAGTTTGGATAAACAACTTAGTTTCAGCTTGGTTGGGTGGAATGTAACCATGAGTAACTCCATCTTGCTTTGGTTTCTTGGGCCCTAGCGCAGGAGCTTAGTTCAAACCAATGGCCTCCTATAAATTTTATTTAACAGCTGTTAACATGGATTATCACATTTGATCTTCATAATAACTAAATTTTAAACTGGGTATGGTGGCATGGACCTGTAGTCCCAGCTACTCTGGGGAGACTGATAAGGGAGGATCACTTGAGGCCAGGAGTTTGAATCCAGTCTGGGCAACATAGCAAACCCCTATCTCTAAATTAATTAATTAATTTTAAAGAAATTAATTAATTTTAAATATAAGAAAACGTTCTCAAAAAGTTTAGATAATTTACCCATGTTCACATAGCTAATAAATGATGTTCTCAACTACCTATGAGATAAGCAGTTCCCTGTTTTACAGATACAAACACTGAGACTTAGAAAAATCACATATGTGATTTACAGATATAGACACTGAGACTTTGGAAATCACATAATATCCATCTGTATTTGAGGAAATTACAAATGATTCCCTTCTAACCATAATACTTTTAGAATGAAAGGATCACATGCACACACTGTTAAAGAGATGAACAAATAATGCTTCTCAATTAGATTAACTTTAGTTAGAAACCTATTATGTGCCAGGCACTATGCCAAGTACAGTAAGATTGAGGCCTTTAACATACTCATAGTGTCTTTGTTATAAAGTTAAGCAAATAAGAAACCACAATGCAAGGCTGGGTGTGGTAGCTCTCACCTATAATCCTAGCACTCTGGGAGGCCAAGGCAGGCGGATTGCTCGAGGTCAGGAGTTAAAAACCAGCCTAAGCAAGAGTGAGACCCCAGTCTCTACTAAAAATAGAAAGAAATTATTTGACCAACTAAAAACATATATACAAAAAAAAAATTAGCCAGGCATGGTGGCTCATGCCTGTAGTCCCAGCTACTCGGGAGGCTGAGGCAGTAGGATCGCTTGAGCCCAGGAGATTGAGGTTGCTGTGAGCTAGTCTGACGCCAAGGCACTTTAGCCTGGGCAACAAAGTGAGACTCTGTCTCAAAAAAAAAAAAAAAACAAACAAGCCGGGCGCGGTGGCTCACGTCTGTAATCCTAGCACTCTGAGAGGCTGAGGCGGGCTGATTGTTCGAGGTCAGGAGTTCGAAACCAGCCTGAGCAAGAGCAAGACCCCGTCTCTACTATAAAGAGAAAGAATTAATTGGCCAACTAATATATATATAAAAAAAAATTAGCCCATGGTGGCACATGCCTGTAGTCCCAGCTACTCGGAGGCTGAGGCAGAAGGATTGCTTGACCCAGGAGTTTGAGGTTGCTGTGAGCTAGGCTGACGCCACGGCACTCAATCTAGCCTGGTCAACAAGCGAGACTCCTGTCTCAAAAAAAAAAAAAAAAAAAACACAATGCAAGAGTGTGATAAAGGTTACAATACAGTAAACTACAAAATCCTGACACAAAGCAAAGACTTCAAGAGAGGAGTATAACAGTTGAGGGGGTTAAGGACTTGCCACAGTTCGCTGTCAC